CACCAGACGTTGTGGGTGCTCCATCACTGGAGGTTTTTAAGAAGAGACTGGACAGCCACTTGTCTGAAGTGGTCTAGGGTCTCCTGCCTGAGCAGGGGGTTAGACTAGATGACCTCCAAGGTCCCTTCCATCTCTATTCTATTCTGTTCTAATCTATTCTATTCTATTCTACATTTTATTATTCTATTCTATTATTCTATTCTATTCTATTCTATATTTTATTATTCTATTCTATTCTATATTTTATTATTCTGTTCTATTCTATTCTATTCTATTATTCTATTCTATTCTATATTTTATTATTCTATTCTATTCTATTCTAGTCTAATCTATTCTATTCTATTCTATTCTACATTTTATTATTCTATTCTATTCTATTATTCTATTCTATTCTATTCTATATTTTATTATTCTATTCTATTCTATATTTTATTATTCTGTTCTATTCTATTCTATTCTATTCTATTCTATTATTCTATTCTATTCTATTATTCTATTCTATTCTATAATCTGTTCTATTCTATTCTATTTTATTCTATTCTATATTTCTATTCTATTCTATTCTACATTTTATTATTCTATTCTATTCTATTATTCTATTCTATTCTATATTTTATTAATCTATTCTATTCTATATTTTATTATTCTGTTCTATTCTATTCTATTATTCTATTCTATTATTCTATTCTATTCTATTCTATTCTATAATCTGTTCTATTCTATTCTATATTTCTATTCTATTCTACATTTTATTATTCTATTCTATTCTATTCTGTTCTGTTCTGTTCTGTTCTGTTCTGTTCTATTCTATATTTTATTATTCTATTCTATTCTATTCTGATCTGCAATCAGAACCAGCCGAACTGAGTTTTCGCTTCTGCTCAAGTCTGCAAGGTTTATACCTTTATCCTGAAGATTCGTGAACTGCTTCCCAATTGTTTGATTGAAACTGTTGAGGCTGTCCTGGGTCTCCTTCAACTGTGCGTTGTAAAAATGTCCTGGGAGGCAATAAGGGGAAAAGAAAAATGGTTGAGGAAGAGAAGTGTCTCCTTTTGCCCCATCGGTGATCGCCTGGTGGTCACCCCTCCCCTCGGCTTTTGATGGGCTCAGACCCTGGGCCTAGGAGACCCTGTTTTCTGGCACTGTTGTATCACTCACCTTTGACTCCAAAGACCATGATGGTGATGGTGAGGATGAAGCTGAGTCCCAGCAGGATTAGAATCAGGCGCCGGCTAGGGAAGACACGTCGGACCCACGTCCGGCTTTGGGGGAGCTTTGGAGGAGCTAAGAAAAGAGGACCCAAACATTGGTTCTTTTCCCAAACCTTAATAATTAGGATTGTTTCTTTGCTGCAAGGAATATCTAAAGAAAACTTTAAATTGGGCGGACTTCAACTCCCAGAATTCCCCAGCCAGCCAGCCATGCTGACAGGGGAATTCTGGGAGTTGAAGTCCACACCACTTTAAATTGCCAAGATTGAGAAACCCTAGACCGGGGGTCTTCAAACTTGGCCCTTTGATGACTGGTGGACTTCCAACTCCCAGAATTCCTCAGCCAGACAATCATTTGTCTGAAATGGAATAGGGTTTCCTGCCTGAGCAGGGGGTTGGACTAGATGACCTCCAAGGTACAAAATGGTATAGGGTTTCCTGCCTGAGCAGGGGGTTGGACTAGATGACCTCCAAGGTACAAAATGGTATAGGGTTTCCTGCCTGAGCAGGGGGTTGGACTAGATGACCTCCAAGGTACAAAATGGTATAGGGTTTCCTGCCTGAGCAGGGGGTTGGACTAGATGACCTCCAAGGTCCGAAATGGTATAGGGTTTCCTGCCTGAGCAGGGGGCTGGACTAGATGACCTCCAGGGTCCAAAATGGTGAGAGTTTCCTGCCTGAGCAAGGGGTTGGACTAGATGACCTCCACGNTCCGAAATGGTATATGGTTTCCTGCCTGAGCAGGGGGTTGGACTAGATGACCTCCAAGGTCCGAAATGGTATAGGGTTTCCTGCCTGAGCAGGGGGTTGGACTAGATGACCTCCAAGGTCCGAAATGGTATAGGGTTTCCTGCCTGAGCAGGGGGTTGGACTAGATGACCTCCACGGTCCCAAATCGTATAGGGTTTCCTGCCTGAGCAGGGGGTTGGACTAGATGACCTCCAAGGTCCGAAATGGTATAGGGTTTCCTGCCTGAGCAGGGGGTTGGACTAGATGACCTCCACGGTCCCAAATCGTATAGGGTTTCCTGCCTGAGCAGGGGGTTGGACTAGATGACCTCCAAAGTCCCTTCCAACTTTATTATTATTATTATTATTATTATTATTATTATTATTATTATTATTATTATTATTATTATTATTCGCACAGTCAGCCAGATGTTCAGGCTGGATTTGGCATTTTTGTCTACCTATCGAGTCCTTCCCAAGGGCCTGGGATAGGCAGATGTGGATGTTGTTGTTGTTGTTGTTGTTGTTGTTGTTATTATTATTATTATTATTATTATTATTATTATTATTATTATTATTAAGTTCTATTGCTATTTCTCAAGCTTGGCCATTTTAAGTGGTCTGGACTTCAACTCCCAGAATTCCCCAGCCAGCGAGGCTATTTTAAAGGTGCTAACCTTGCGAAACCCTGGTGAATGTAGGAAGGAGGCAGGTCAGACAGAAGCAGGGCAGGTCACAGGGAAAAATAGCAACTGGAAGGACAGGAGTAGGAGAGGAATAGGAATTGGGGCAGAGTTTGCAGCTTATAAGGGAGAGGAAGCGTCTGAATGACGAAACTCCTAGTAACTCCAGATGTAGCCTATAATTAAACTTGTAGAAAGCTGCCTCTACATTTGTTCACCCTACTTACTAACTAGGGAGTCACTGCTTAGCCACAATTAACTGGACGGGCTCTTGTACTTTAATTAAGAGGCTTCCGCTCCTTCGCTTCTGTCCCTTTTCCAGCATCCTAATGAAGACACAATTTTTAATTCCTGCCAGGGCTTATAAGATTGGAAGCTGTTTTATGTTTATTTTAAAAAAAAATTCAGAGAAGAGCAACTAAGATGATCCAAGGCCTGGAGATTAAAACATATGAAAAACGGCTGCGGGACTTGGGTCTGGCTGGTCTAGAGAAAAGAAGAAATAGGGGAGACAGGATAGCTGTATTCTAGTACTTGAGGGGCTGCCCCAAAGAAGAGGGAGTCAAGCTATTCTCCAAAGCACCAGAGGGAAGAACGAGAAACAAGGGTTGGAAACTGATCAGAGAGAGAAGCAACCTGGAATTAAGGGGAAACTTCCTGACAGTGAGGACAATTAACCAGTGGAACAGCTTGCCACCAGAAATTGTGGGCGCTCCATCACTGGAGGTTTTCAAGAAGAGGCTAGACAGTCACTTGTCTGAGAAGGTGTAGGTTCTCCTGCTTGAGCAGGGGGCTGGACTAGAAGACCTCCAGGGTCCCTTCCAGCTTCTATTCTATTCTATTCTATTCTATTCTACTCTACTCTACTCTACTCTACTCTACTCTACTCTACTCTACTCTACTCTACTCTACTCTACTCTATTATTATTCTATTCTATTATTATTCTATTCTATTCTATTATTATTCTATTCTATTCTATTCTATTCTGTATTTTATTATTCTCTTCACTTCTCTTCTATTCTATTCTATTCTATTCTCTTTTTCCCTATTCTATTCTATTCTATTCTATTCTATTCTATTCTATTCTATTCTATTCTATTATTATTCTATTCTATTCTATTCTGTATTTTATTATTCTCTTCTCTTCTCTTCTATTCTATTCTATTCTCTTTTTTCCTATTCTATTCTATTCTATTCTATTCTATTCTATTCTATTCTATTCTATTCTATTCTATTCTTCTATTCTTCTATTCTATTATTCTATTATTCTATTATTCTATTATTCTATTTTCTATTCTATTCTATTCTATTCTATTCTATTCTATTCTTATCCTATTCTATTCTTACTCGTGACCTTTCCAGAATTGGGGAGGGGGGCAAAAATGGAGCCCCCCGCCCAAGGAAGAGCCACAGATGAAGGCTTGCAGGACATGGTTCGGGGGTGCGGGAAAGACCTGGGAGAATCTGGCAAGGCGAAGCCCATCGGAATGATGCTCACCTTTTATCCTGGGTGCGTCCTCGCTTTCGGGGTCAAAGGTCATGGCGAGATCCTGGTAATCTCGGATCATCTTGAGACCCTTCCCCAAACACCTGGAAACACAACAGCCGAGTCAGGGGACCACCCAGGCGCTGAGTTCACAGACCGTCCGTCCGTCCCCCTGGCGTTATTTTTCAGGAGCTGCTTTGGAACCCAGGACGCCTTGGAGCCCTCTGAGCTGGGATGCTCCCTCGCAGGGGCTTCTAGCACGGATGATGTTGCCTGGATGGGTCAGGAAATGTCTGCAAGAACACGACCAAGCTCAGAGAGCACCAAGGACCCCAGAGGAGTTCTCCTCCTCCTCCTCCTCCTCCTCCTCCTCCTCCTCCCCCCTAGCACTGATGATGTTCCCTAGTTGGGTCACAAAATGCCTGCAAGAAAAACATCCAGCTCAGAGAGCACCAAGGACCCCACAGTTCTCCTCCTCCCCTCCTCTTCTCCCCTCTTCCTCTTCTTCTTCCTCCTCCTCCTCCTCCTCCTCCTCCTCCTCCTCCTCCCCTGTAGCACTGATGATGTTCCCTACTTGGATCCTGAAAGGTCTGCAAGGAAACCACCTAGAACAGAGAGCACCAAGGACACCGGGGTCCTTCCTTCCTTCCTTCCTTCCTTCCTTCCTTCCTTCCTTCCTTCCTTCCTTCCTTCCTTCCTCCCCTCCTTCCTCCTCCTCCTCCTCCTCCTCCTCTTCCTCTTCCTCCTCCTCCCTTCTAGCACTGATGATGTTCCCTAGTTGGGTCATGAAACGTCTGCAAGGAAACCACCAAGCTCAGAGAGCACCAAGGACCCCACAGTCCTCCTTCCTTCCTTCCTTCCTTCCTTCCTTCCTTCCTTCCTTCCTTCCTT